GGGGTTCTATGGACATATCTATCTATCGATCGATCAATCATTTGATTTGAGAGCTGTTGGTTGATTTTATGTAGTCACCTACAGAAGAACAGAAGAATTAATAGCTTAATCACTGTAGGAAAGTTCACCATCCTCCCACATGATGGCAGCATCTTCTAATAACAATAAAATATCTAAGATCTAGAGATATCAAAATGTCCACCAGGTGGTGCAATTGAGCAGTAAGCTACAGCACTCTGCCAATACCTTCATATCAGATATGAAGTGTATATCTCCACTGGCTGGTCAATATGCTTTGCTATCCCATGTCTGCATGTCATATCTGTGTTCTGTTGTGCATATACCCCCATTCTGTTCTACCATTCCTATCAGGTGGCTTTGGGAACTGTGACCAACATTGAAGAAGCTGTCAAGTGGTTGAGCTACACCTACCTCTATGTACGAATGAGAGCCAATCCACTTGCTTACGGCATCAATCACAAGGCCTACCAGGTACACATCAGTACCTTCCTCATAGTCATCGGAGTCTACCTCATTGCTCCTCTCGTCCTGTTTATCAAGTGGCAGATGATTCTCACTGCTCTTTTTGGTTTTGTTTTTCCCAAGACTCTGTTGTTGTCATAGTAGATCTCTGTACAATAGTTCCCACTCGAATCTCTCTTACTAATGAGCTCTAAAAAAAAAATAAAAAAAAAAAAAAAAAAAAAAAAAAAAAAAAAAAAAAATTTTTTTTTATTATTTTTTTTTAATTAAAAAAAAAAAAATAAAAAGAAAAAAAAAAAAAAAAAAAAAAATTATTTAGGTAGTACGGTTTCCATCGTTCGTTACGCCTGGTGTCTCGCACAATCACGCTAGCATCCAACGAGTCACTCGTGTCACTTGTAGCAGCTGGTACTGTTGTCCTTTGTGGCCATGCACTGTCCAGCTGTTTTTTAAGGTCTGATGTGAATTGGTAGTTGCGATAGTATTATTATTATTATTATTATTATTATTATTATTATTATATGTTTAATTTATATAGCACCTTTCCAGAGCTAAAGGACGTTTTACAATACACTGATATATAAACAATGAACAATCACGGACGAACACACAATGTGAAAAACAAAGAGCAACCAAACACAGAAAAGAAATACACAGTACAGTCTCTGAGAAAATGTATTAATGCACTGAGAAAAATTGCAAGAAACAGTTTATATGAGCCTCAAAGCTGAGGGAGGGATCAAAGATGATGCCTAAATTTTTTACAGTACTAGATGGTTTAATGAGAGTGCTATCAATGTCACAAGTAAGGTCATAAAGGATATTTTTAGTAAGCGTTGGCATTCCAATAATAATGATCTCAGTTTTGTCCAAGTTTGAAAAAAATTGGAGTTTTATTGGAGCCAAATAGTGTATATAGTAGAGGTCCAAGAACTGATCCCTGAGGGACACCTAATAAAAATACAGTGGACGACTTATAATCCTGCATAGTATACATATGTAGATGTAGTATTTGCTTTTAAAGCATGCTAATTAAGCAGAAAATAAGTAGCGCAATAATCAGTGTAAAAAATAAGTAAAATTGGTTGTGTGGCTTTAAGTTATGTGCTAGGCTTCATACTAGCTTTGTTGATGAAGTACACTCACCAGAGGCACCAGCAATCTCTGCTACTCCCTCCCAAACTTTATTATTCGTTGTAATGTCTTGATACGGATTTAATGAGAGGTTATATATCACACCATCAGATGAAGCAGTCGTTATAAGATTTTCCTCCATTTTTGTGCGTCAATAGTAAATGGGAACTAATTGTAGTTAAGAAGTTTAGGTTGTGAGTAGCCATAGGATTGGTCTGAGGAATCATTCAAGCCAGTCATTTTGTTTCATCCCTTTACTGTCATAATGAATTTTCATCTTATTTCAGATGTTGCCTGTTAGTCTGAATGTGTAGTTTTTTTTATTTATTTAATGAACAAATGTGTGAATTAATTAATGAATTTGATTATAGTAGGATTTTCTATTATCTGTCTGTCAGCACCACAAAGTTATTTTTTTCTCACTACATTTATAGCACCAATGAAAGCTATGCTATGCTGTGGCCGTTTCTTTATTAATTGTTTTTATAATGAAAACATGTATTGAACAATTCAACTCAATGTCATGGATTGGAATGCCTTCACCGCCGAGTCTAGTCCTTCTTGCTGCAAATTTCTATGCCTGAAAGACCCTTAATATATGCTTTAAACAAGAAGGAAGCTATTGAAGAAAAAATATTTCAGACACTTGACCTTGCAGTCTTATACAGATGTTACTTGCACGTTTATGTTCAGGAACCCATGGTCTATTCTCTGGCTATCTTAAGATTTCTGCCATCCATGTTTCTGTCCGAGCCAGAGAATGTTTGTTGGCTTTATGATGAACGTATGATCGTAACCAGAAGATGAACTGATGGCCTGTTTTTTTTTTGTTTTTTTTTACAATCGCTTATTGATTGGGAAATGTTTTCACAGACGTTCAATGATCTGTTCGACGCTCAGAAAACTGAAGCTGACATCCTGAGTATTGTCTCTAAAGCGGAGGAATTTGAGCAGGTTAAGGTAAGAGGCCACGTTGCACTTGTAGCCGGAGAGATTTGATTTAGAAGAACGTGTCTGAAGTGCAGCTTTCACTCGTGCATTATATGTCCTCACGTGAAAGCGTGTGAAGTGTCGTGGCTGATGGCGTTGTGCTGCATGCAGGTCCGAGACGAAGAACTGGAGGAACTGGAGAAGTTGTTGAGTTGCTTTTGTGAACTGCCAGCAGCTGGTGGAGTAGAAAACGGCTACGGCAAGATCAACATACTGCTGCAGACCTACATCGGCCGCGGCGAGGTGGACAGCTTCTCCCTCATCTCTGACCTGTCTTATGTGGCCCAGGTAACTCACACTCTCACACACACACACACACACACTCACAAACACACACAAACACAGGTCCTCGCATGCCAGAAAATTCTAACATAAACTGAACAGCTTCTGGGGCATGTTTGAGCATATTATTTTGATCAATCCTGTTTTTACTTTTATTGGGAATCCATAATTCACATTTATAATCTGATGGAGCTGGGATAAGTGAATCTGACAAAAAAAACAAACACTGGATTATTCAAGTAATAATCTGTTAAATGTTACAGGAGATAAATGGATTTTCAACTCAAAGTTGTCTCTAGGTGTGTGTGTGTGTGTGTGTGTGTGTGTGTGTGTGTGTGTGTGTGTGTGAGAACGTGTGAACGACTGGCTTCCCATCCAGGGTGTATTTCCGCCTCATGTTCAGTGTTTTAGTGAAGATGAATGAATGGATAAACGTGATCAATTCTTGGTCAGAATTTACATTTTAGGATAATAATAAAGTCATCAAAACTCTGGAGTAACATAAACGTAACTATGGGAATTATGTTCCCAAATAAATCATAATAATTTCATATTTTCACATCTTTAAAGTAGATACACTTTTTGCCTAGAATTTCCAGACATGTATTCTTGGCATTTTCTCACCTGATTTCTTGAGGAATTTCCCTGAGATGCTTTTTAAACAGTATTAACGGAGTGCCCACCTACGCTGGACTCTTATTGGCTGCTTTTCCGAATATTTCACTCCGAGCCATCCGTTTATAAACGTGGTATTTTTCTAATGAAAGAAACGAAGACGTTGACACGGTTCTATTTTTGTCTACAACACCGATTTCAGACGTTGAATCGTACACCTTCAGATCAAGAGGTTTTTAAGATCGTGAGAAACATTTCAGTGGAGTGTCTCCTGTTGACCGGTAGTGTACATTAGCAGTGATCGAGAGGCCTTTGTGTAGCGTGTCTGCTTCCCATTCTACATCTTCACATCCTCTGCTGCAGCCATCGCTCTAGCTCTTTTCTGCCCTAACTGGTTCCATGTGGCCAAATAGTTGAAATAGTTCAAGCTAATTCCCTCTTTGCTCCTAATTCGGCCGATTTCAGACGAACAGCCGGGGATCCTGCAAAAGCTGTAACTGTTGACTAAAACACATCTCATTGTAAATCCAGGTCCTCCCTGATGTTCCTGCCTGTGATTGCACCCACTACATCCACGTGGGCAAGAGAAACATTTGTGGGGGGGGGCATATTAAAAGCAAAGAACTTGAGCACTGTTTCGATTAATGAATGAAATAGCTCCTAAATGTGAGTTGTGAGGTACAGTAATAAATAGACAGACACGTTTAACACACATAGTGCCTTGACTTTTTGAACAAACATTTCTGCACAATGAATAGACAGAGTCATCGATGGAAGGGTAATTGAAGTCTTATGCTGTGGAATTAGAGAAACTTCCTGTATTGGCCCCCGTTTGACAAAACGCTTTCTGTTTCTCATCTCACAAAACGCCAACTGCTGTAGAAATGTTCCCGTGACGTTGTTCTTCAGGTCCTTCCATGTTTTTTTCCCCACTCTTTGATAACCTTTCCTCTATGCTTAAGTGTTTTCATATTACAGGCTTGAACGCAGATATTCTCAAACAGCAGCGTTAAGATCGAAGCTTAAAAGAGATGTTAAGTAGTGGTTATGAGATGGTATTTTTCATGCAGAAATACAGATAATAAATGCTTTTGCAAGCTTGTTTTGCAAGCTTCAGTCTAAACAGTCTTATAAACTGTATGATCTCAAATGAGTGAGTGCAAGCACATCACACCAAATTTAGGATTGCTCAAATGTCAAATCTCTAACATTACTATCCAGGGTCATATAAATATCATGGCAGGCTTTCCTTTGAGTGTTTAACGTTCTTATCATTTTAGCGAATGCTAAAAACATTTGGTGGAACCTTAAGCAGGATGAACATCTGGACCCCCAACACACATGCTCACCCCCACGCAACAGCTGGCCTGTCGATCAAAGCGCATTCTGGTCGTTTGCGTTTATGGCATTTGGCAGACGTCCTCATCATTATTTCATTTCTACAACTGAGCAGTCGAGGGTTAAGGGACTTGCTCAAGGGCCCAGCAGTGGCTGCTTGGCAACGCTGGGGTTTGAACTCGTGACCTTCCGATCAGTAGTCCAACATCTTAACCACTGAGCTTTATGCTTTCTATCAGACCGGACACATCATCGTAATTAACTTTCTACATGATCTGGCTCATCACAACAAAGTTTGGCATCATTGGTTGTACTGTATGTTGGATTGCTAAAGACCTAACGTTCCATGAAAAGGTTCAGGACTCGAACCCTTATTATGAACTGTTTGACCAAACATGCACGTAGTTTATCTATAAAATTGCCTTATGTAGTAAAAGAGTTGTTTGTGTTGTGTTTAGAATGCTGCACGTATCATGAGGGCTCTGTTTGAGATCGCTCTGAGGAAGCGCTGGCCAGCCATGACGTACAGGCTGCTCAATCTCTGTAAAGTAATTGATAAGCGCCTGTGGGGATGGGCACACCCCCTGCGTCAGTTCGCCACGCTGCCTCCCACTGTGCTGTCCAGGCTGGAGGACAAGAATCTCACTATGGACAAGCTTAAAGATATGCGCAAAGATGAGATAGGTAAGTGGACTAACTGATTTTGAACGATCTGGGTGCACTTAGGGATTTTTTTCACACACTTTTTTTTCCCCAGTCCTGAACCCTACTTTTATGAGCATCAAGGATGCTTTGGGACTCAGGTGCAGTCGAAGAAGTGATCCCAGCTTCACTTGAAAATGTTGCTCTGGGATTCACTTGAAGTGAACTCTGCTTAGGCCAGCATTAGTGTGTGTGAAAGTGATTCACTCTCAGGACTGGGCATCGAAGTGCGAGATTGGTTCAAGTCATCAATTCACAATGTTGTGCAGGGGCATTGTGTGGTCTGGGGGGGAATTAATGCCTTTTGGGGACATATATAGAGACGGGGGAAAAAAGGAGATTTAAGTCAAGTGGCTCATAAAAACACTGAATTATTTTTGTGTCTAAGCAAGCAACTTTGACTGAAGTGTTGTTAAGCGAATGAGAAGAAACACTCATTAAATACATAAACACAATGTAAATAGACAGTAATTAGCACCCTTTTTGCAAGGATTTCACACACAGCAGCAGCGTCTTATAAACGTTTTTTCAATCCGCAGTTCAGGAAGAATTTGTTTGTGTGAAAACAATGATCCTTGAATGTTGGGGACAAGTGTGAAACCAGCCTTAAACATGTGATTGAACATTTCTGACCTGTGCTGTGGCAAATAAAAGCACTATAAAGCATAAGGGAAAGGCCTGAAGAGCTGCTGTGTGTTTATGGCTGCAGGTCACATGTTACACCACGTGAATATAGGCTTGAAGGTGAAGCAGTGTGTCCACCAGATTCCTGCAATACTGATGGAAGCTACCATTCAGCCGATCACTCGAACCGTCCTGCGCGTGCGTCTCACCATCACCCCCGACTTCAGGTGGAATGACCAGGTAACTATAGCAACCAGAGCCCAGACGGAAAATAACGGCTCCTTTTGTCTTTGAAGTGTGTACTGTGTGTACTCACAAAAATCCAGGTAGAAAATGTTGAAACATTTTAAGCATTCTTGAAAATGACATGCAGGTATAAACAAATGTGTGCGCACACACACACACACACACACACACACACACACCCGCATCCTGGCTTAGAGAAGCTTAAGAGAAGCTTAATCTGTCCGTTTCTCTCCTGTGTGTAAGATCACAGGGGCTTGAATGGCTGAAACCTACTGCTTTTGTTCTGTGGAGTGGGAAAGGAGGGGGCAAAAGGAGGTGGTGGGAGGGAGGGAAGTAGTGAGCCCCAGATGGACCCTGTGTGTCCTCCTTGTGTTGCAGTCTCACTCCTCCAGCTTATAGAAGCTTTCTTCAGCTTGATGGCCAGCATCTGGGCTCTGCTTCAGTCCCTCTCTCTGATTTTTCCCTCCTCACTGGCAGCACACAAGCATGATGGCTCTTTCTCTGTTAAATCTCTCTGCATTTCTCTTTATTTGCTGTTGTTCTACTTTTTATGTTTATTTATTTTCTCTCTGAGTGTTCACATTATGGCTGGGCAGTACGGTAAATCTATGGATAATCAATAACATCAAGATCATTTTTAAATCAAATAAAACATATAGTGCCACTGTGTCACAAATACAAGATCATCTGGTGGATTGAAAGTGTTACAGGAGATTAGACAGCATGTCTGAATATGCTTATTCTAATATATTATCTTTTTTTTTTATACTAACTTCTCAATTTGTTGGGATTTGTGTGGCAGAAGCGTCACATAAAATAAGAACATAATAACACATACAAATTTTTTATTTACATTTATTCACTTAGCAGACACTTTTATCCAAAGCGACTTACAAATGAGAAAATACAAGCAAAGTGATAAATCAAACAGAGAACAATACAAGTAGTGCTACCATACAAGATCCATTAATTGAGTTCCAGAAGAAATTTCTATTTATTTATTTTAAACAGTATAATCTTTGATAAAATAAAGCTTTCTGAAAGGATATGTTTATTTACATTTCTGGAAGAAGTCACAAAGTTTTCCACCACGGGAAAGCCTTCAGGACCGAGTACGTTGTGTTTCCCATGTTCTCAGTACCATGACAAGCTGTGTCTTATTTGTTTTATTCAGTTCAAAAGGGGAAAAATAAAGTGAGGCTGATGATGGCATGACTGCTTATGGCTACTTAATGTAAGAGATAGTATGTTTAAATTTTCAACAATCACACGGATCACACCACGCACCACTGACTGTTTATCTATCACACAGCGCTCGTCATATCAGTCCCTCCAGGATTTTGCGATCACAAGATTCACAAGATTCTGAGGAGCTGGCCATTTTTTCCCCAGATTCCGTATATTCCTTATTTTACTTGGGCATTGCTTACTTTTTGCTTCGTTACTCTATTTTATTTTCACTTCTACACTCTGCTTCTCTCTTACTTAGTTCTAACTCCCTTCTCTAACGGCAGTTAATCAGAAACGGCGCGATGGTTGACATGGCTGTCGTAACGGTAGCTCTATAATGCAAAATCGACTCGAAGGGAACAGCATGCGCGTGTGAACTGTCTGTGTGGCGCGCCTGAACTCTCTGCTCTTGGCCGACTCCAGACGTATGTGCGAATCCCGCTGCAGCAAGTCTGTTGCTTTTGAAAACACACACACTTCATTAAATAGCAGCTGCTCTGGACTTCACTTCTCCTGTGAGTTCAGAGTCTCATGAGTCTTTTTCACACTCGCTTTCACACATAAAACTTTCCTTCTGACCCCATTCAGACGCCGTAATAGCGCTCTCGTACATCTTATTTTCTCTCTTTTTTTCAATTTCAGCCCGAGAACACAGGAACTCGGAAGTGGATTTACGTCATGATTCTAAACTCTTCTGACATTTTCCAAGCGTGCATACACACACCGCTAGTTCTGTCCGTCTTTTATGCAAGCACTGAAATTTTCATATTAAGCGATTCGGATCTGTCTAATCAATCACCATAACTTAACCCCATGCCATGGCCATACCTGCTCATTTTCAACATGACTTACACTGTCTCAGATCAGGAACTGATAGAAAGGCCCAGGAGAGGATTAGGGCCAGATTACTGCTGAGCTTTAGCCGAGCCCCAGCTGGGATCGGAGGCCTTTGTAGCACCATTGAGACGGGACGACCGAATCAGGAAGATGAACGCTCGTGTCCGATTAGCGGTGCATGCTTGGCTTTTGGGAGAGTTGTAACAGAACACCCCAAGCTTAGCGGTGATCCCAGTGCAAACGTACACACAGCAGCTCTGCAAACCTCTTCAGACACAAAGCGCTCGGTTTGCTGCGTGTACACTGGGATTCTAATAAGAGTGTTTTTGCAGAGGCTTGTAATTCTTCCCAAATGGATGGACGTCATCCACAAACTTGATTACAAGGTTGTGTATGTAGACAATAGTGTTTTCACTCGGCACTCGTTAGCGACAACTGCAGAGAGACAGCACACACAGTCACACTTAACTCTTTCTGCAGAAATGCTCTTGGCCTCCAGTGAAACAAAGAACGTGATCGGATTTCTGACATTTTTTCAAAGCTAATGTCCTGGTTATTTGTTCGTCCCTCAGGTGCATGGCTCTGTTGGAGAACCGTGGTGGCTGTGGGTGGAGGACCCTATCAACGATCACATTTATCACACAGAGTATTTCCTCCTTCAGAAGAAACAGGTAGGTCTTCACAATGGCATCTACGTTTATATTTTACTCTTTACTCAGCAAATGCAAAATAGCTGACACTTGAACCTCTCAGCTGTGCCACTTCTGCCCAGTTTTAAATCCCGCCGGGATTCTGTAGATGCGTACCTTCTACGAACCGCTGCTGTAATCATAAAGACTGCACGAGCTTATCCCAGGACTCTTAGTCACATCACATTAATCACACATCGTACTATTTTCTTTTCCTCTACAGTTGTATGCTAATGATTCAGTCACATGGTTTTTCTCTCGTGGTGATTATATTTGTGACCAGATTTCTGGCTTTGCTACATAACACCATGTTAGTGGTGAAAGATGGCTAAAATGACTCACTTTACTCCAGTAGATAATAAATGATCATGGTTGAACATCAAATATGGTGCATTCAACTTTCCTTGTAGGTGGGAAGTGGGAGCTCGGAATGACAATTTCGACTTCTGTGCGTTCGAGGTAGAAAGTGGAGGGAAAAACATGGACATCTCCATGTTTGTATTTTGTTACCAAGCAGCTAGCCAGCTAACTGTGATGAGTGAGGAATATTTTCCGCCTCAGAACAGTGATCTGTCCTGTCAGTGTTATAGATTTATTTGTTTATATTTCTTGTACACCACTTTAGTTTCAACAGCTGTTGTTTTAAGTGTGCTTTATAAATCACTAAACTAAACAAGTGAATATGTCTGCATGCTGACTGATCTAAAGCAAACACTTGTGTATATACCTTATTAACTCATTTACAGATAAGAAGTGCTACTTTGTTTACATCTATTGCTGCGCGCAACTAGGTTTTTTTGACGTCACTCCCTGAGCTCAGAGGAACTCGTAATGAGAAGATTACCCTTTGTTCCCCAGTAGGAATTTGGAGTGTCTTTTTCCTGGCCGTAGGCAGATGAATTTGG